AGAGATCAGTGGGGCAACATGCATGACAAAAGAAGAGGGTCAGGAGTTATTGGTAGCCCCATTTGAAACCTGCTCTGAGAAGCAGTGGGGCAAACCTGGGGAAAAATATTCCTTTGCCTTTAAAATCTATTAGAGAAGAAATTCAAGCTCAGACTGGGTAAAAGCATGGTGTGTGTCTAGTGCAATCTGCTGTGTTATAGCTGGATGCCCATAACAACACCCTGTTCTGACTGCTATTCAGGTGGAATATTGTCTATGCTTCAGAGATGCATAAGGTCAGATGGGATTAGCATCAATAACACAGTGGTGTATGAAAACTGTTAAACTTGTGGTTTATCCCTTTAAATTGCAGGGGATTTTCCTGGTCCTGCTTGCAGCCTGTAGGGAAGTGTACAATCTGGTCCTAGCAGATGTCAGTCTGGAAAGAGTCAGCCTAGGAAAAAGGTGGGTGAATTTTGCCTCTCTGCCTTAGGGAGCAGCCTGCTTTGTCTCTCTCTGTTTTTGGTTACTGTGTGTTGTTCTGGATTCTAAGAATAAAAGTAATGTGAGGTGACAAACTTTCAGCATGAGCATTTGATGTTTTTTATGTCACAAGCATAACAATCACAAAGAGGTATATCATATGGAGATCAAGGTCTGCCCCAAGATTTTAGCAAAGGATGGAGGAAACCAACAAATAAGTTCCCTGGGCACCCTGGAAGTGGGGAAATGAGCAAAAAATACAACTTGGCTTGTGTGTTTCGCTTTTACTATAGATTTAAGGCAGGGGTGGCCAACCTGTGGCTCCGGAGCCGCATGTGGCTCTTCAGAAGTTAACATGCAGCTCCTTATCTAGGCACCAACTCCGGGGCTGGAGCTACAGGCTCCAATTTTCCAATGTGCCAGGGGGGTGCTCACTGCTCAACCCTGGCTCTGCCCCAGGTCCTGACCCCAGTCCACCCCTTCCCCAAGGCTCCTACCCCTTCTCCAGAGCCTGCCATGCCCTTGCTCCTCCCCCTATCCTCCTGCACACTATGAAACAGCTGATTGTGGCGGGCAGGAGGCATGGGGAGGGAGGGGAAGGTGCTGTTTGGGGGGGCTGCCAGTGGGCGGGAGGCACTGGGGGCTGTGGGGGACAGGAGCTGATGGGGAAACTGCTGACATATGACTGTGGCTCTTTGGCAATGTACTTTGGTAAATTCAGGCTCCTTCGCGGGCTCAGGTTGTCCACCCCTGATTTAAGGAAAAGGCTGGGAGTGGAGCCCATTGGGTAAGGAATGGATGGGGCTGGAATATGAAAGTGTGGTGGAGTTACCCCATTTGGGAAAATTTGGGTCAAAATGTACTTTTAGGACACTTTTTTTTTTTCAGATATGTGCATAATACACGCTCCTTAGCATGATGTGCAAAATGCTTTATAGAGAGAACAAAGTGAGATGCCCCCTAAGAGATTCCAAATCCATCTCCTCTACCCAGTTGTCACCCACGTAGTCTGGAATATGGCCATCTCTGCAGATCGTCTTTGCCAAGCTCACATTAACTGGGCGTCCAAATTGCCCTTTCAAACCTCAGCCTCAATAAAATCCTACTGCAAATCAGGGCCAGATCCTCTGCTGAGCCCACTCTCCTGTTATCCCAAGTTGATATTCATGCTATATATAAGCTGGCCCTGCGTGGAGGCTGCTCTAAACTGAACCAGCAGGTCACAACTCCCAAGGAGCCATCTGCCATGTGGGGAGAACCTGAGTGCAACATGCTCCGGCCAAATCCCACATGCCAAAGGCTGTTGGCTGCAAGGGCAACCCATGGCACGTGCAACCAGTTCCTGCTCCCTTGGTGTCACGGGAGCAGCACTAAGGGACCAGGATGTAGGTCAGGTTCTGACCCGTGTCTCATTGAGACCTAGCTCCAGGGGAAGTTGAATGTGGTGCAAACACCTCTCCTGGTCTAACTAGTTCACTGGGACTTCAGCACATGCTTGAAGAGAGGAAGGAGGGTGCGGTTGTCAAGGTGCTAACTAGGCACTCAGGGGCCCTCCGTTCAAATCCCTGCTCTGCCCCAGGCTCCGTGTGTGGCCTAGGGCTGGTCATTCACTTCCCAACGACTCTCAAGGGATTTAAGTACTTTAGTCCCTGATGAAAGTGGGACTTTGCCTCCCAAGTCACTTAAGGGCTTTTGAATATGTTTTCCCAAGTCTGGGTCTCAGTTCCCCAGCTGTGAAATGGGGATAATTCTTTGTACCTCACAACGGGGTGATCAGGATAAAGCTCACGAAAGCTCATGCTCAAATAAATTGGTTAGTCTCTAAGGTGCCACAAGTACTCCTTTTCTTTTTGCAAATACAGACTAACACGGCTGTTCCTCTGAAACCAGGATAAATAGGTACACAGAGATGTGAAAAGAGCTTTGATGAACTGGTGGTCTGGTGCCATAGATGTGCCTGGTACAGGTACATTGGCATCATCCCATACAAAGTTCCTATGGTCCAGGCAAATCGTCTTAGCTATAACTAATTCTGCTGCAATTTTGGCAGAGGGCTCATGGGGGTCACACTATTTATGGATGTGAGTAAAGTCCAAGACCCTTGCAGCTGTGGGCTCGTGGCCGGGTGGGGCTGGGCCCCGCTCCTGAGTGAGTTGAAACCCCTTTCGTTCAGTTGCAATGCTAATCTACTGAAGGGTGGACCCTCCCCAAATCTGAGTGGTGCAGCAAGCACGTGGGTCAGGTTGCAATGCCTGGAACTGGGAGCTGAGCCCAGCCCTGCCCCAGCCAGGAGCCGCTGCTGTAGGATAAGTGCAGGGAGCGCTCACTTTCTGTCACCCGCCAACAGATCCCCGCCATCCTACCTTCCGTGACAGATAATTGTTTTCCTGCACCTCTGCTGTGAAATTTATTTCAATTGTCCCTGACAACCTTGCAGCCCTCCCTATAATTGTAACAGAAATTTAGCCACATTGAGGCAAACCCGGGTCTATCGCGCAGTGCAGACGTACCCTTAGGCACATTGGAAAATTATGCCCTAAATACTGTTGCCTCCAGTCACACTGCATGGGTACAAATTCACCTTACACTGGATCTTCTCCAATACAAGTCTATTAAAAGCCAAGAGAAAGCGGCTGTAATTATTTTCATTGGTTTCGTTTCTACAGCATGTTTTACACAAACAAATTAAACCCGATCTTACAAAGCCACAGGCTGCAAGACAAACAGCCACCAAGGAAATGACATGAATTGCTGCACAGGAGCAAATATTTCAAAGAAGGTTCAGAACCGGCTGCTCGGATAGTTGCACTTGCTTTTGTGGTCAGTTTCAAGCCATTCATTTTGACACCTTTGTTCTGTTTGTTCCACTAGCAAAGCGCTTGGGCTGTTTGCTTTTTCAGTTCTCTCTCCCAGCTTTCGGTTACCAAGGATGTGGAAATTGCTCCCCCAGCTCATCTGTAGAGGAAATGGTTGGAGCAAAGGAGAAGCAGAAGAGTCCATGAAGTAAACACAAAAATCAATTTACCTTTGAGTAGTGTGGAAAAAAAATGCAATTTCTTGGCACAAACCAGAGACTTTGAGAAAATATATCGGTGAGGAATTCTCCAGTAGGCAGTGTGGCCTAATGGATAGCAGCGCACAGGCCTGAGACCTGGGTTCTATTCCTGGCTTTACTACTGCATGATCTTGAGTAAGTCACTTCCTGCCTCAGTTTCCCCGTCTGTAAAGTCTATGTTTAATCATGGTGTGTTGTGCTGCATGAAGTGTTTGCAATACACCCACGATGCACTTTACAGCCCCACAAACTCTGGGCTGACAAGGCCAGACCCTGCGTTCCTTGTGCATCCAGCACTATTCCACTCAAATCAATAAGAGTTTGGGGTGTGCAAAAATGCAGGATCAGGAATTGCACAGTTCGGAGGCAGGTGAGAAAGCTTGAGCTGTTCTGGAGTCTGGAAATCCAGCCACAGGGATTTCCTGGTCTCATTTCTCAAGCAAGCCACTGTGAGCATTCAGGATTCACTTAGAACTCCAAGGGCCAGATTCTCAACTTGTGTAAATCAGCATCAGTTCATTGCCTTCGATGGATCGTTGCTGATTTACACCAGCTGAGAATCTGGTCCTAAATTACCGTTCAGTATCGTGTTGTCAAGCAATAAGGCTCAGCGGGGATAAAATACTGAGGCAGCAGGGAGAAGCCCGTTTCTCAGCTGTTCATCACCCGCGGCTGGGGCCACACTTCCAGAAGAGCCCAGCTCCCAATTAGGGGATGTCTACACTGCAGCTGGGGGAGTAGCGGCTCAATGTAGTGCATTGAAAGATAGCGGTGTGGCCACGGCGGCCCAGGTGGCAGCTCGGGCTGACGTCCCAAGTTCAATTCTGCCCGACCTCCTGGACACGAACTCGTAGAGTTGGCCCGAGCCACGGCCCATGGCCACTCTGCTATTTTCACCACACTAGCTAGACCAGAGCTAGCGCTTGTCTGTCTACCCGGGCTGGGAACTACCCTGCCAGCTGCAGTGCGGACGCACCCTTCGGCACCTCAATAAGGACCAGATTTGTACAAGTGCTCGGCTCGTTAGACGCCCATTGGAGGCTCATCTCTTGGGAATCCAGCCACAAGTGTGCCAGTGGGGGCTGCTGGGGGATGAGCACAGTTGAAAATTGTGCCGTTTGTTAAGTGTCTATATGGGAGCTGGGCTCTTTAAAAATCTGGCCGCAATGGGGGGTGCTGATCCCTTGGGAAAATCATTTGCAATAGGCAGCAGGGTACAATGCGGTCTACAGAATCGCACCTTTAGCCAGTGTCATATACAGCAGTCTGACCCCCAGGGAAGCCCTGGTACCTGCTGTCTCCGCACTAGACATGGTTCTGTGTTGAACTATCTCATGCATATTCTACATTGTGCCACATCCTAATGGTTATTTCGTTCTTCTGAATTGTTCTAATATAACCATATTTGAATCAAATGCAGCAACAGCTGACAAGAAATAGATTGTCCCCAAAGGGTTCTTTAAGAAGCCTCGGTGAAAAGCATCTATCACCACAGCACAACCCCCTCAGCAGTTCCGACCAGGATGTTGGACCCTTTGCACTTGAGCAGCTTACCAGACAGAAACTCTTAGATTTCATCGTTCAGGATATTGTTTGTAACAATCATGCTGTTCACCAAATATCTGCTTTTCTCTTTGCTGGGTAAAGCTTTTGCTTTAGTCATACCATTAAGCTTTAGAATTGAAAAAGGAACCTTTTCAATAAGGCTTTCATGATGTCTGATAGCTTAGGATGCTCTTCCATTTACTTTTGCACAATGTAATCTTGTTGCATTTGTGCTTTTGTTTTAATTCTGAACAATTCAGTTTATTTTGTGCAGATCGTGACTGGCTGAAAATTGACTCTAACAACACACCCTCTTTTATTCCTGCAGTGGTAGAAGTGCAGTTATTTTTGCACCAACTTGAGTCGTTCCTGTTTGTGAACATTAATGATACAGCGAAGATCCAGTGCTCTTCCAAAGAACAATTTTTAGCAGGAAGTATAACAGCTCAGTGGTACAGGAGACGGGAAGGTGAGGCCCCCATGTTAATTAAGAGATGCTCAGATAATCAAAATGTAAATAAAGTTGCTTGCATATCGGAAGGACACAACTTGACACTGGAAATCTACAATGCCCAACGGAATGACTCGGGGGTTTATTACTGTACCAGTTCCTACATCATCTTGACTTTTGGCAATGGATCCACCCTGATTGTTGGAGGTAAGGAAATAGAACTGAATGGTTAGAAATGAAATATAATGTCAATGCAGACATAGTTCATGTGCATGTTAAAATGTTAAAAGCTGGTGTGATAGTTTATCAAAGATTGAATTGTTAGAAGACAGACTGTCAGAATCCAAAAGAAGTGAGTAAACTTTGGTTGCTGAAAGAACAGAAAAATATATTTTGCACAAATAAAATATGCAAATAGTGAAAATGAACTCTTGAAGATTTTCTGTCTTCTTCCTGTTCAGGGCACAAGCTGGGAATATTTTAAACCTTAGAGCCATGTTCAAATGACACAATACTTTGCAATTAGGAAATGTTCTTAGGACTGCATCAGTTCCTAAAATAGCACAAAGTTTCCCTTCTGCTAAGTGCAAATATGTGTTTAGTTTGGTCTGGATATCATTTCATTTTTCAGTTTCTTCATATTTTTCTATTGTACAACACATTTATCCTTTGAGTTACTTTCATCTTCTACGATTAACCCCCTAAATCAAACTGCTGCTCAGCTGAGCATCACACTGAGCTCTGTGCTTTCTCCTGCTCAGACAGTTACACCAGCAGCAGTTGGGTGCTGACTCTGGCTCCATCTCCCCACGGCCTCCTCTCCCCCAGGATGGCTGATCTGGCTTGCATGGTCCACGGAGTTTCCAACCCAGTCCAAATTTCCTGGAGTTTTTCTGGGGATCTGCAGGAACAGGGTCTGATGCATTCGCTGAAAGCAAAGGATGGCTCCTTTGTGTTCATAAATCACATCAGCGTCCCCATGGACACCTGGACCAGTGGGAAGAATTTCACCTGTGATGTTAAATTCAACTCTTCTGGCACGAGCGTTAAGAAAATTGCCCAGTATATTGAAGGTGAGTGATTTTACATTAGCTTCTGGGAGTAGAGGGGAGTCAGATAGATAGTCCAGTGAGGTCCTGGTCCATGACTGGGATTCCGAGGCGCTATGATGATTATGACGGTAATTAGATGTTCAAAGTGCCTGTGGTCCGAGCTTCTTTAATGTAATTTGCAATTAGAGAAAGTTGTGAAGTGTTTGCTAATATGTAGGAGCAGGCAGATCTGCAGAGAATTTTGGGAAAGGAGGAAAGGGGAATTGCAGTGCTCACAGACAGTGATTTTCAATAGAAATTGTCACGCCAACCATAGCTATAAGCACCCTACCAAGTTAAATAATGACTAGTATCAGAGGGAGAAGGGAACAGAGGCACTTAGGTGCAGAGAGCTGTTTCGTGGAGAGGGGTGAAGACAGCTACAGGGAGGATTTTGTAGATGGCAGAAGGTGCAGAGAAGATTCTGATTACAGGGGAAATCATTGGCCTAATGAAAAGGGCACAACAGAGGGAGAAAAGTGCTGAAGGCTCCTGTCGTCTCACTCCTCGAGGGTTAAGGCCCGTGGTGAAATGGGGTCAGGAGGGAAGAGCTGGATATGGTGGCATCACGATCCTCTTGGCTTGAGTCAGCCACTTACTTGTGTCTGTTTTTAGCTTCCTCCACAGCCCCTGCCAGGGAGTGCTCACATTACATTGTGCCCCTTGCGGCTGGAGCTGGTCTGCTGCTGCTGGTGGTGTCTCTGAGCCTCGTCTGGACCCTCTGCCCTTCTGCACTAGGTAATAAACACAGCCCAGCCCAGACACTCCCCCACGGAGAGAAATCCTGCTCCCCTGCTTGCTACTGGGGACTGCAACTGTCCTGTCCAACATATGAACACGCTGCAAATGTCACAACTGCCAGCACTGATCTCCGAATGTTTGTTTTCTGAAACTTGAATGTCCTGTGTTGGGAGAACGGCTTTGTTCTTAGTGACAAAGGGAGCGATGTAGAAAGGCTTCTCCTGCCCCTGGCCCGGGCACCTTGTCTACAGCTCACAAAGAGCACTAACCTTTCTGACGAGCCTCACTCCATTTGCCATGCATGGAGGTGCCCTGCGCACCCACAGCTCGGATGCACCATTAGTCAGTGAACTGCAGCTGGGGGAGTGACCGTGGAAGAGGAACTTTGACTGTTGTCTTTGTTTGTTCCAGGATTCCAGCCCAGGGTCTCAGCACCCCCAGCTTCCGAGGAGCCCCAGGTACGGCTCTTTACAGACTGTCTCTGTCTAAATCAATGTGTGCAGTGTTTGTTGTAGCCGTGTTGGTCCCATATTAGAGAGACAAGGTGGGTGAAGTAATAACTTTTATTGGACCAACTACTCTTTGGTGAGGAAGACACGCTTTCGAGCTTACACAGAGCCCCTCTTAAGATCAAGAACATGTACTCAGAGTGTCAGTTTCTCTCAGCCATTTCTAGTCCCTCAATCCAACTTCATAGATTTCATACGTAAACAGATTGATCTTGAAGCGAAGGTGAATGTGAGATCTAGCTGTTGGAGTAGCAGAAGGGGAGCAAGGAGCTTTAATGCTACCTCTGGTACCAGTTTACTGTGGGATAGTGGGCAAGTCACTTACTGCTCTGTGACTCAGTTTCCCCATGTGCAAAAAATGGATAAGAAGATTAACTGCGCAAGAATGATGAGAACTTTAATGTTCTATTGTTACTGACCATACTCTTTACAGGGTTTTTGTGTGCAGCTGGGAACATTTTTGACATTTAAAGATAAAGAGCGATAAGAAATTATATTTGTTAGGCGCATGAAGATTTTCCAGTGCAAGGTGCTGTGGGCCTGATCCAAAGCTCCCTGACTTCAATAGGAGACTGTCCATTTATATGGGGTTTGGATCTGGCAAAATATGATCAGCAGGTGAGTTCTTAAAGACAGAATCCAGTGATGGTTTTGAACACACACAATTTAGAGGACAAGCAGGAGAATCCAAGATAAGAGGGAATTTTCCACAAGGCTAAACTCGCTTGTATGTTCAGTTATGTCAAGCTTGATCTCAGCTCAGTCTGATCACCTCCTTCATTTTGCAAGGCGGTGGCTAATTTTTCTAACTGTTGCCAAACAGGGTGGAATCTTATACGCTCATCTGGATTTTGATTCACGGAATCACAACGGGCGCACGATGCAGCGACCGGCCAGAGGGAAATGTGTAAAACCCTGAACTGTCAAGTGCAGGGAAATCCACATGTGGGAACCGATGGCTGGTTCTCTGCTGATTGGACATAGCAGCTGGAAGAAGCCTCTGTTTGTCTCCATCTCCTTTCTTTTTGTATTTTTTCCACTTCTCTGTTTAGAATAAAAAGCTCAGAAGATCCCCACAGGGTCCAGCCTCATCAGGTGGGAAATCTCCTTTTGGGGTATAAAGGCATCATGGTGTAGATGACTTTACACATCACTTGTGTATTAGATTGGAAGCTCTTTGGGGCAGGGAGTGTCTCTTTGTCTTATGTTTTGTGCAACGTCTAGCACAGAGAGGCTCTGGTCCATAACTGGGGCTCCTGGGTGCTATGGTAATACAATCATCATCATCATCATCATCATCCTCCCTCTCTCTGCAGAGGGACATGGACACAGCTGAACGGCTGCAGCTTCCCTGCACAAAGAGTGAGGCTAGATGGCAGAAGCCAGCAGAGGGGACGTGCAGCCCCTGTCTACGCCACAGCTCCCAACTCCCCTGATCCTCAGCAGGCGCATGCTCCCTTTGCAGTAAGGTTACATGGACGTGCCGTGGGATTGGGAAGGGGAAGGATGGATGCGGGAGGAGCTGGGAGGGATGAGAATCTCTTCCCAGGCCACGGCGGGAGCTGCTACTCCAGTGCTTCCTCTGCAGGCTGCTGCTTTCCCCCATGGGCGAGATTCACAGAGCCCCATGGGCCAGCCCCTCTGCGCCATCTAACGAGAACAACACGTTATCGGTGACTGGAGCTCTCCTAGGCCCTGAGCCTGCACGCGCTGCCTGTTTACATCACAACTTGTTGTTCAAGCTGTCATTCGAACTGTCACTCATTAAAAACAGACGGCAACCCCACTAGTGATGTTTGTTTTGCCTCTTTTACCTGTTCAATGCATCAATCTCACTTTGTTGTATAATAAGAACGGTGACCTCTTAAATTCTTTGGGCCCAATTCTGCTCTGGTTTACAGCAGTGTAAATCTGTAGGAGCTCTGTTGCACTCACTGGAGTTACTCCAAATTTATTCCGGTGTCTCTGAGAGCAGAATCTGGCCCTTTCTATCTAACTTAGCATCTGCGTTTCTTTTGATGGATGCTACAACCAATGTGTTACAGAGAACCGATGAAGTGAGCTGTAGCTCACAAAAGTTTATGCTCAAAAAAATTGGTTAGTCTCTAAGGTGCCACAAGGCCTCCTGGTCTTTTGGCGGATACAGACTAACACGGCTGCTCCTCTGAAACGGAACGTGTTGCACGCACACCTTCAAAATATGGTGGATGGTGATCATTTCCACTAAAGGCAGGACAAGTTGTGGGCTTAATCTGCAGCAAGGGAGATTTAGGTGAAATGGTAGGGAAAACTTTCTGACTCTCAGGGGAGTTCAGCTCTGGAACTGGCTTCCAAGGGAGGTTGTGGAATCCCCATCACTGGCGGTTTTAAAGAACAGGTTGAACAAACACCTATCAGGCATGGCCTAGCTTTACTTGTCCAGATCCCTGTGCTGAGGCAGGACCTTGATGACTTGTCAACTTCCCCTACAGCCTGACATGTGTCTGTTTCTCTGAGTGCCAATAAAAAATGAATGGCTAAGGGCCTGAATCTGATCTCAGGTTACTCTGAGGAGTTAACCTAACAGGGCTGCAGGAGGGCCCTGATTTCCACTGAGCCTTCAAATTGAGGTCTTGAATGAATGGTGACTTGAAGTCACTGAGGATGCTTTCAGCAAGATGAGAGCAGCTGGCTCTGGTTCCTTGGCCAACTTCCCATTTGGGTTATTACAAGAGCTGGTCAGGTCTTTAGAAGGACCAATTCTTTGTCAGAAAACTCATTTGTTGAAATGTATTTGTTGAAATGGAGATTTTTTTTTCAATGGGAAAAGGGTCAGCTTTGATGAATGTTTTGACTTTACAAAAAGTTTCAAAATTGAAAAATGAACCAATCTGGTTCTCCAGTTCAAAATGACGCCTTGCTTAGAAGTTTAAGCTACTGATTAAATAAAATGTAACCTGGTCAAAATTTCATATGGTGAAAATTGAAAGGAAACATTTCAAAATTCTTAAAACAAAACACTTCCTTTCATCCAAACCGACGATTATTTTTGGTTCCAGGAAAATTTTTGAGATTTTGATTATTCCATCCTAGTTAGTGAGAGGAAAAGTTTTCAGGATCTTGAAAATTTGTGTGGGGTGGGAAATCCATTTTCTGCCCAGCCCTGGTAATTACGTTTGTGTAAAATTACTTGTGTAGCTGCAGTTGGCTACATTGCACCTTTCCACTTCCTGCCCTAAGGCACTGTGCAGGGCTGCTGTGGGCCTGTCAGACAGCTGCCCCGCTCCACCCCCACCATGCATGAAGAGATTTCCATACACAGTGTAAAAGCCCAATCCTGCAAGGTGCTGATGCACCGACTGTGACATACTGGGCACCCACCACACTCTGCAAAGTCAAGGGGAGACGTAGGTGCTCAGCTGCTTTTAGGATCAGCGCCTAAGTCCAGTTTCTTAAAGCAATTTACATTGTAAAGCATTGTGTTGGGATCCCTCGAGCAGTAAGTAAAGCATTGTGCTGTTGTCAATCACTGTTCCTGGGAGGTTTATAACAGGCGCTTTCTTTTATAAGGGATTTTGCTGGGCAGACATTGTGCTTGAATAACGTTATGATTTCTATGGTCTCATCTGTACTGCCACTGACAACATTCAGCCCCTTAACAGCGAGCCTGGGGACCTGATTCTCGTCTGCATTAAGCCCTTTTCCACCATGGTAACGTACAGGGGCTTGGAAGTGGGTGTCATTGTAATTTCTGCTCCTCTAAACTCCTCGTTCCACTGGGGCAAAGGAGAAGCTGTGTAATTGTGAGTAATGCCCTTGGGCTAGAAATCAGGCAGAATCTTGGCCAGTCCAGTCGTCCTTCGTCAGGCCAAACTCCTGCTTCCACGTAACGTTGCCTCAGTCAGGGACTGCAGGATTTAGCCCGGGTCACGTCCCAACCATGGGAGGGAGGTAGTGAAAGGGAAGGCAGGAAGAAGGTAGATGGTCCCCAGCATTAGAGTGTTGCCTGGAAGGGGGTTGTAACAGATCGATCCCCACTTTGCCAGGGGAGCTGCAGCCAATCAGTCCAGTCTCAGAAAATGAAGTAGGGTCTAAGGAGACGTGGACAAGTAACGGAGGGAATCTGGTCTTTTCTGAGCCAATGGCTCTATTCGCTAGCCCATGTTGCCCTCTTTTGTCAGCTGTTTCAGAAGGGTCACTGATAGATGCACTTTCCTTTTTGTGCAGCCAGACGCAGCTTTTTAACCAGCCCCGTTCAGTTTGGTTTTAGCCAGTTTATTGCTAGATCCAAGTGGAGGCTCTTAACTTCCATTGACTTCAGTAGGAGTGAGGCTCCTAACCCACCTAGCCATGTTTGAAAATCCCGCGAGGCACCTCTCTGCTTTATAGGCACTGAAATACTTTTGACCATCTGGCCCTAAGTCACTGTTGAGAATGGGGCTTGTACTCTTGAAAATTGCATTCCACGTTGTCTTCTTTCTCAAATGTCAGAGCTTTCAGTGTGATTATTTAAGGTACAATTAAAGTCCTCCAAGACAAGATGCCAAACAATCATTACATATCTGTGTTGTACCAGCCAGAAAGATGATACCTTAAACCAAACATGGAAGACTGGGCAGAGACTTACGTTGGGAGTCTCAGAAGACCTTAGTGATTTAGGAGCATTCTCCTTTGAAAGTCAAAGGGACTTGTGCTCTGAAGTCATGGTGATTTGTTTCTATAGATCATCCATATTCTGGATGTTTAAATTTATTCTCAATTATCATAGTACACCCCTGAGCCACTGCAATGCAGAGAAATTCTACAAGATATGCTGTAGCCTCTTTAACCCACCCCTCTAGTATCTATCACCACAGCACACCCTCCTTGGAGGCGTTCCTCACTGGACATAACCAAGACACTGTACACAGTCACTGCATCAGTGCACTGGGCATCAGCCTTTGGGCCAGTGTGTCAGGATTTTGTTCTACTTGTTTATAGAAAATGATCTTTGTCGAGTATCTGGTTTTATCTTCCTTAGGTAAAACTTCTGCATTAAGCTTTGGAATTGAGAGAACAGCCTCTTCAGTAGGACACTGGTGCATTTTAATAGCAGGTTATTTTAGCATTTGGGTTGCAGAGAATAAATATTATCAGATTAAGTAATTTCTTTTGCTGAGCTCTCCATTCCATCTGTGGCAGTTGGAGACTTGATGGAAACTGACTATAACAATATTATATTTCTCCAGTACTGGGAGTGCAGTTATTTCTGCACCAGACTCAGCGGATCCAGTTTGTTGAAGTTAATGACACCGCCAAGATCCACTGTTCTTCCACAGAAAACTTGAAAGCAGGAAGTAACATGTTTTGGTATTTGAGAAGAGAAGGTGAGACACCAACATGCATTAAGCGCTGTTGGGATGATCAAAATGTAAGTAAATTTGCTTGCAAACACGAGACACACAGCTCGACACTGGAAATCAGCACTATCCAAAAGACGGAGTCTGGCATTTACTACTGTGCATATAAATACAGCAGCTACCTGATCTTCGGGAATGGATCCACACTGATTGTTGGAGGTAAGGAACCATACAGCTTGTTTAAGGAGACTAATAATTGATTAACAAAGCATATTTCATGTTCCTATTAAAGTGTAACAAGATACCATAGCTATTGATGAATGGTTCAAAGGAAAGCATGCTTTAATGAAAACAGTTCAGCTAAACATTAAATACTATGGGTACAGAGGGGATATAATACACATACATTTTATAAGTAAAAATGTTAAAACTTGAAAGTGCCAAAAATAAATTATTGAAGTTTCTCTGACTGTTCAGGGCACCCAGGTAGGGAATATTTCTAACCTAAGAGCCTCGACTACATGAAACTATATGTTGAGTTAATGAAATGTTTATAAAAAATTTAAAATTTGCACACAATTTTCCTCCTGGCTAGTGCAGATACGTATTGCTCTACAATCTAGTTAGCGGTAGTGTGGTGATTTACTATTTCCTTCTTTAATAGATGTGTTTCTTTGAATTAATGTCTCAGTGATTGTTGTAGCTATGTTGGTTTCAGGGTATTAGAGGCACAAGGTGGATGAGGTAATAACTTTTATGGGACCAGCTTCTGTTGGTGAGAGAGACAAGCTTTCGAGCTGGCAAGGAGCTCTGAGTAAATTCCCAGACCTGAAGAAGAGCTCTGTGTAAGCTCAAAAGCTTATCTCTCTCACCAACAGAAGTCCTAGTGAAAGACTAACATCTTTAATCAGACTGCAGCTCACTAAATTCTCCATCTCCTTCTGCTCAGACAGTTATACCAAGAGTAGCTGGGTGATGCTTCTGGTCCCATTTCCACATGGCAGTCAAGTCACTGGGGCAGCGAATCTGGCCTGTGTGATCCATGGAGTGTCCAGCCCAGTCCATGTTTCCTGGAGTGTTTCTGGGGAGCTGCAGGAACAGGGGCTGACACGCTCATTGAAAGCAAAGGATGGATCTTTAACCCTCATAAATCACATCAGCGTCCCCATGGACACCTGGACCAGTGGGAAGAATTTCACCTGTGAAGTCAAATTCAACTCTTCCGGCAGCAGTGTGAAGAAAAGTACCAGGTATCCTGCAGGTGAGTGATATTATATTTGAGGGTTAAGGGAGACTCAGATGTGAAATAGGGGTGAAGTGGCCACAGTCAGAGCTCCTTCTATGTAACTTTCCATCACAGAAAGCTGAAATATTCTATGTCTTAGTTAGAATTTCTCTAGAGAATTTGGAGAAAGGTGAATTGAGACATTACAGGGACCACAAGACAGAGTAGCTCTGATCTCTAGGGCAGCTTTCACCCAGATTGTACATATGAATCCCTATAAAGAGCTAAATAATAATAAATACCAGGAGTAAAGGGGAATTGAGAGGTATTTGAGAAGAGAGATGTTTTCCAAAGACAGATTTCATAGTGGAAGCTGTGTTAGTCTGTATCAGCAAAAGCAACGAGGAGTCCTTGTGGCACCTTAGAGACTAACAAATGTATTTGGGCATAAGCTTTCGTGGGCTAGAACCCACTTCATCAGATGCATGGAGTGGAAAATACAGGAGCAGGTATAAATACATGAAAAGATGGGAGTTGCCTTACCAAGTGTGAGGTCAGTCTAACGAGACAATTCACTTAGCAGCAGGATACCAAGGGAGGAAAAAAAACTTTTGAAGCGGTAGTGACAGTGGCCCATTTCAGACTATTTCCCCAATACTAATTTCCCCCTACTCTTACTCACACCTTCTTGTCAACTGTCTGTTTATTTGCTTCCTCCACAGCCCCTGCCAGGGAGTGCTCACATTACATTGTGCCCCTTGCGGCTGGAGCTGGTCTGCTGCTGCTGGTGGTGTCTCTGAGCCTCGTCTGGACCCTCTGCCCTTCCACGCTAGGTAATAAACACAGCCCAGCCCAGACACTCCCCCACTGAGAGAAATCCTGCTCCCCTGCTTGCTACTGGGGACTGCAACTGTCCCGTCCAACACATGAACAGGCTGCAAATGTCACAACTGCCAGCACTGATCTCCGAATGTTTGTTTTCTGAATCTTGAATTTTCTGTGTCAGGAGAACGGCTTTGTTCTCCGTGACCAAGGGAGCAATGTAGCTTCTACTGCCCATGGCCGAGGCGCCTTGTCTGTAGCTCACAAAGAGCACTAGCCTTTCCGATGAGCCCCTCTCATTGTGCCTTGCATGGTGGTGCCCTGCGCACCCACAGCTCGGACGCACCATTAGCCAGTAAGTACAGCTGGGGGGTGACCGTGGAAGAGGAACTTTGACTGTTGTCTTTGTTTGTTCCAGGATTCCAGCCCAGGGTCTCAGCACCCCCAGCTTCCGAGGAGCCCCAGGTACGGCTCTTTGCAAACTATCTGTGTCTAAATCAATGTGCCTGTCTTAGACATTTCTAATCCATCAGCTTCATATATTTGGCACTTAAACTGATTGATCTGGAAGGAGGAGGTGAAAGTGAGATCTAGCTGTTGGAGTAGCAGGAAGGGAGGTCCGAGTCTTACTGTGAGCTTTAATACTAGCTACTGATAATGGGCAAGTCACTTACTACTCTGACTCAGTTTCCCCATATGTAAAAAGTGGATAACTAGACTTACTGTACAAGGATGATGGGAAGTTGGATGTTTTATTGGTTCTGACTGTACCCTTTACAGGGTTTTTGTGCAGCTGGGAACATTTTTGGCACTTAAAAGATAAAGAGCTATAACAAATTATATTTGTAAGGCACATGAAGATTTTCCAGTGACAGGTGCCGTGGGCCTGATTCAAAGCTCAGTGACCTCATAGGAGACATGGGGTTTGGATCTGGCAAAATATTATCAACAGGTGAGTTCTTAAAGTCAGAATCCAGGGCTGGTTTCCATTCTGATAACACGCACCGTTTACAGGACAAGCAGGAGAATCAGAGATGAGAGGGAATTTTTAATCAGGCTAAACTCACTTAGATGTTCAGTTCTGTCTCAGCTTGTGTCCCTTCATTTTACAAGAAGGGGGCTAATTTTACTAAATGTCACCAAACAGGGTGGAATCTTATACGCTCATCTGGATTTCGATTCGCGGAATCTCAACGGGCGCACAATGCAGCGATTGGCCAGAGGGAAACGTGTAAAACCCTGAACTCTCTGGCACAGGGGAATCCACATGTGGGAACTGATGGCTGATTCTCTGCTGATTGGAAGAAGCAGCTGGAAGAAGGCTCTGTCTGTCTCCGTCTCCTTTCTTTTTGTATTTTCTCCCCTTCTCTGTTTAGAAATAAAAGGGCAGAAGACCCCCACCCCCCAGAGTTCAGCCTCATCAGGTGGGAAATCTCCTTTTAGGATATAATTATAAAGGCATCAGGGTGTAGATGACTTTACATGTCACGTGAGTATTAGATTGGAACCTCTTTGGGGCAGGGACTGTCTCTTTGTTCTGTGTGCAGCGCCTAGCACAACGGGGCCCTGGTCCATAACCGGGACTCCTGGGTGCTATGGTAACACAATCATTATCATCATCCTCCTCCCCTCCTCCTCCTCTCGTCTGCAGAGGGACCCAGACACAACTGAATGGCTTCAGCTGCCCTGCACAGAGTGAGGCCGGGTGGCAGGAGCGTGAAGAGGGGATGTGCTGCCCCAGTGTATGCCACGGCTCCCCTGGCCCCCAGCAGGCACATGCTCCCTTTGCAGAAACGCTACATGGACGTGCAATGGGATTGGGAAGGGGAAGGATGGATGCAGGAGCTGGGAGGGGTGAGAATCTCTCCCCAGGCCAGGGCTGGAGCTGCTAGTCCAGTGCTTCCTCTGGAGCAGTGTTTCTCAACGACCCGTCTGTGGACCAGTGCCGGTCCCTGAGATCTCCCTGACACAGTTTAGAAAGGCAGCAAGGCGGTCCCTGGTACCCAAAAGGCTGAGAAACGCTGCTCTAGAGTCTGCTGGTTTTCCCCAAAGGCGAGATCCACAGAGCCCTCTGTTCCAGCCCCTCTGCGCCATCTAAGAACAACACGTTACCAATGACTGGAGCTCTCCTGGTGCCTGAGCCTGCTCGCGCTGCCTGTTTACATCACAACTTGTTGTTGGTCAAGCTGTCGTTCAAACTGTCAATCATTAAAAAGACCCAGAATTGATGTTCGTGTGTCTTGCCTTTTTTATCTGTTCAATGCATCAAGCTCAGCTTATTGTGTAATAAATAAGGTGATGTCTTAAATTCTTTGGGCCAGATTCTGCTCTGGTTTACAGCAGTGTAAATCTGGAAGAGCTCTGTTGCAGTCAGTGGAGTTACTCTGGATTTACTCCGGAGTCTCTGAGAGCAGAAGCTGGCCCTGTCTATCCCACTTAGCAACTGTGTTTCTCTTGGTGGATGATACAACGAATGTGTTACACAGAACTTGTTACACACACATCTTCAACTATGGTAAGAGCTGTCCACTAAAGTCTGGAGAAGAAGTAATGGGCTTAATCTGCAGTAAGGGAAATTTAGGGTAGGTATTAGGAAAAGCTTTGTAACTCTAAGGAGAGTTTGGCTCTGGAACAGGCATCCAAGGGAGGTTGTGGAATCCCCGTCACAATAGAGGATTTTAAGAACAAGTTAGACAAACGTGTCCAGGATGGTCCAGGTTTACTTGTCCAGATCCCTGTGCTGAGGCAGGACCTGGATGATTTTTCAAGGTTCCTTCCACTCTGACATTTCTGTGATTCTCCGAGTGCCAATCAAAAATGAATGACTAAGGGCCTGAATCTGATCTCATGTTACCCTGAGTACTGAAGCCAATGGGGCTGCAGGAAGGCCCAGATTTCCATTCTGACTTCAAACTGAGGTCTTGAATGAATGGTAACTTGAAGTCACTGAGGATGCTTTCAGCAAGACAAAAGTATCTGGCTCTGGTTCCTTGGCCAACTTCCCCTGTGGGTAATTACAAGAGCTGGTCAGGAGTCTTTAGAAGAAACATTTCTTTATCAAAAAATACCCATTTGTTGAACTGAAGATTTGTTTTCCATAGGAAAAGCATCTGTTTTGATTAATTTTTTTACTTGATAAAAAGGTTTCAGAATTTCAGAATGAAACATTCTGGTTGTCCAGTTCAAAAAGACATCTTGCTTAGAAATATACACTAATTATAGTGGAAAAAAAATTACTTTTTCTTGGTCAAAAATGTATATGTTCAAAATTGGAAGGAAACATTTCAAAATTCTTAAAACAAAATGCTGCCTTTCACCCAAACCGAAAATGATTTTTGGTTGAAGAAATGATTTGAGATTTTGACTTTTTGTACCGACAGAGGAAAATGTTTCAGTCTCTTGAAATGAAATCCATTTTCTGCCCAGGCCTGGTAATTACAAGAGTGTAAAATTGCTCCTGTCGCTGCAGTTGGCTACATTGCGCCTTTCCACTTCCTGCCCTAAGGCACTGCGCAGGGCTGCTGTGGGGCTGTCAAACAGCTGCCCCGCTCCACCCCCACCGTATATGAAGAGATTTCTATTTACACTGTACGGGCCCAATCCTGCATGGTGCTGAGGCACTTCCTGTGACTTGCTGGGCAACCGCAACGCTGAGTAAAGTCAAGGGGAGTGGTGGGTGCTCAGCTGCTGTTAGGCTCAGCTCCTACCTTCCATTCCCTAAAGCACTGTACATTGTAAAGCATGTTCGCTGGGAACCCTAGAGCAGTAAATAGGGCTTTGTACCATTGACAGTCCGTGTTACTGGGAGGGTGATAACAGGCCCTTACAGGAACTGAGCTGGGGAGACATTGTTCTTGAATAGCGTTATGATTTCTATGGTCTTATCTGTACCACCTCTGACAACCCCTTAACAGCGACCCTGGGGACTGGATTCTCATTTGCACTAAGCCCCTTTCCACCACGGTAACGCACAGGGGCCTGGAAGTGGGTGTGAGTGTAATTTATGCTCCTCTAAACTCCTCCTTACATTGGTGCAAAGGAGAGCTGTGTAATTGTGAATAATGCCCTTTGCTAGAAATCAGGCAGAATCTTGGCCAGTCCAGTCATCCTTTAAACACCTGCTTCCACTTAACATTGCCTCAGTCAGGGACTGTGGGATTTAGCCCAGGTCGCTCCCCAACCATGGGAGGGAGGAAGGCAGGGGAGGGAAATGGAAGGAAAAAGGAAGATGGTCCCCAGCATTAGAGAGCTGCCTGGAAGGGGTTTGTGACAGATCGATCCAGGGGAGCTGCAGCCAGCCAGAGCAGCCTCACAAGTGGGGTGCGGGCTACGGAGACATGGCCAAGGCACCCAGGGATTCTATTCTTTTTTGAGCCAATTGCTCTAATCACTAGCCCACATTGCCCTCTGTTGTCAGGTGTTTCAGAAGGGACATTGACAGATACACTTTATTTCTTTCTCCCTGCTTTGTGCAGCCAGACGCAGCTTTCTAAGCAGCCCCGTTCAGTTAATTTTAACCAGTTTATTGCTAGACTCAAGGGGTGGCGCTTAACTGCCATTGACTTCAGTAGGAGTGAGGCACCCAACCCTCTTAGCCAGGTATGAAAATCCCACTAGGCATCTGTCTGCATTTATAGGCACCTAAATACCTTTGCAAATCTGGCCCAAAGTCACTTTTGGAAATGGGACTAAGACTATTTTGAAAATCGTGTCTTATGTTGTCTTTTTTTCTCACACATGCCAGAGCTTTCATGATCTGCAGTGCGGTTAACAGTCCTCCAAGACAAGACAAGACAACAACCGTTACATGTCTGCATTGTGCCACCAAGAACTGTGCTACAATAAACCAAACATGGAAGGCTGAGGAGAGATTTACGTTGGGATTGTCAGAGGCCCTAAGTGGTTTAGGAGCATTTTCCTTTGAAAGTCAATGGGGCTTGTGCTCCGAACTCATGTGGGTTTGTTTATTTACATCATCCATATTCTGGACATTTAATTATTCCGAATTATTATTTACATCCCTGTGCCACTAGACGGCAGAGAAAATCTACAAGAAATGCTGTAGCCTCTGCAGAGTCTTTAGCCCACCCATCACCACAGCACATCCTCCTCGGAGGCGTCCCTCACTGGAAATGACCAAGACACTGTACCCAGTCACTGCAGCAGTGCAGTCGGCGTCAGCCTTTGGGCCACTGGGTCAGGATTTTGTCCTACTATTTTTATGAACATGATCTTTGCCGAGTATCTGCTTTTATCTTCTTTAGGTAAAACTTCTGCATTAAGCTCTGGAATTGGGAAAACAGCCTTGACAGTAGGACACTACAATTGAATACTCTATCTATGATATGTTTTGAAACTTTTGCTGGATATTAATTGCATTTCCATTCACTTGTATAAAGTTACAGCCGCTTTTTAAGCATTTGGGATGCAGAGAATAAATATTAGCAGATTAAGTAATTTCTTTTGCTCAGCTATCCATTCCATGTGTGACAGTTGGAGACCTGACAGACACTGACTAGAACAATATTATATTTCTCCAGTACTGGGCGTGCAGTTATTTCTGCACCAGACTCAGCGGATCCAGTTTGTTGAAGTTAGTGACAACGCAAAGATCCACTGTTCTTCCACAGAAAACTTGGAGGGAGGAAGTAGCATGTTTTGGTATTTGAGAAGAGAAGGTGAGAAACCCACCTGCATTAAGCGCTGTTTGGATGATCAAAATGTAAGTAAATTTGCTTGCAAACATGAGACACACAGCTCGACACTGGAAATCAGCAACGTCCAAAAGACTGAGTCTGGCATTTACTACTGTGCATATAGATACAGCAGCTACCTGATTTTTGGGAATGGATCCACGCTGATTGTTGGAGGTAAGGAACCATAGCTTGTTTAAGGAGACTAATAACTGATTGACAAAGCATATTTCATGTTCCCATTAAAATGTGACAAGATACCATAGCTATTGATGAATGGTTCAAAGGAAAGCATGCTTTCAGCCAGACATATCAGCTAAACGTTGAATGCTCTGGGTATAGAAGGAATATAACAACATTTATTGTTATAAAATATATGTGTAAAACCTGAAAGTGCCAAAACTAAACTATTGAAGTTTCTCTGTGACTGTTCAGGGCACCCAGGTTGGGACTATTGCTAACCAAAGAGTTATGTTTGCATGAAACAATATTTTGATTTAATGAAAAGTTTATAAAATTTATAAAATTGTTTGCAATTTTCCTTCTAGGTAGTGCAGCTATGTATTGCGCTGTATCCTAGTTCGGGGTTGTGTGGTGATTTAATATTTCCTTCTTCAATAGATTTGTTCTTTTGAATTCATGTCTTAGTGACAGATACGCAATGTTGTTGGAGCTGTGTTGGTCCCAGGATATGAGAGAGACAAGGTGGGTGAGGTAATAGCTTTTATTGGACCAACTTTGGTTGGTGAGAGAGACGAGCTTCCTTGCTGACACAGAGCTCTTCTTCAGATCTGGAAAATGACACTCTGAATACGTTTCCCAGACCTGAAGGAGAGCTCTGTGGCAGCTTGAAAGTTTGTCTTTCACCAACAGAAGTTGGTCCAATGAATGGTTTTACCTCACCCACCTTGTCTCTCTGAGTGAAAGATTAATACCTTTAATCAGACTGCAGCTCATTTGATCATTGCACTGAATTCACCACCTCCGTTTGCTCAGACAGTTATACCAAGAGCAGCTGGGTGATGCTTCTGGTTCCATTTCCACGTGACAGTCAAGTCACTGGGACAGCAAATCTGGCTTGTGTGATCCATGGAGTGTCCAGCCCGGTCCATGTTTCCTGGAGTGTTTCTGGGGAGCTGCAGGAACAGGGGCTGACACACTCACTGAAAGCAAAGGATGGATCTTTAACCCTCATAAATCACATCAGCGTCCCCATGGACACCTGGACCAGTGGGAAGAATTTCACCTGTGAAGTCAAATTCAACTCTTCCGGCAACAGTGTGAAGAAAAGTACCAGATATTCTGCAGGTGAGTGATACTATATTTGAGACCAAGGGAGACTCAGATGTGAAATAGGGGTGAAGTGGCCACAGTCAGAGCTCCTTCTACGTAACTTTCCATCACAGAAAGCTGTAATATTCTATGTCTTAGTTAGAATTTCTCTAGAGAATTTGGGGAAAAGTCACGTGAGACATTACAGGGATCACAAGACAATGTAGCTCTGATCTCTAAGGGGGCTTTCACCCAGACTGTCCATATAAAGCACTGTAAAGAGTTAAGTAATAATAAATACCAGGAGTAAAGGGGAATTCAGAGGCATTTGAGAAGAGAGATGTGTTCCAGTGAGATATGCAAAGTGATGGGGAGGCGATGAGGTGAGGAGAGACCTAGAGTGAGGATTTTGTAGATGGCAAAAGGTCCAGAGAAGATTCTGATTACAGGGGAAAGAATTTGCCTAAGGGAAAGGGGGCAATACAGAGGGTGAAAGGTGCTGAAGGCTCCTGTCGCCTCTCTCCTTAGGGGTTAAGGCCTGTGGTGAAATGCGGATCAGGAGGGGAGAGCTGGATGTGGTGGCATCACGACCCTCTTGGCTCAAGTCAGCCACTTACTTGTGTCTGGTTTTTAGCTTCCTCCACAGCCCCTGCCAGGGAGTGCTCACTTTACATTGTGCCCCTTGCGGCTGGAGCTGGTCTGCTACTGCTGGTGGTGTCTCTGAGCCTCGTCTGGACCCTCTGCCCTTCCACGCTAGGTAATAAACACAGCCCAGCCCAGACACTCTCCCACGGAGAGAAATCCTGCTCCCCTGCTTGCTACTGGGGACTGCAACTCTCCCGTCCAACACACGAACACGCTGCAAATGTCACAACTGCCGACACTAATCTCTGAATGTTTGTTTTCCGAAACTTGAATGTTCTGTGTCGGGAGAATGGCTTTGTTCTCCGTGACAAAGGGAGCGATGTAGAAAGGCTTCTACTGCCCCTGGCCCAGGCACCTTGTCTATAGCTCACAAAGAGCACTAGCCTGTCTGACGAGCCCCTCTCCATGTGCCATCATGGAGGTGCCCTGCGCACCCAGAGCTCGGATGCACCATTAGTCAGTAACTACAGCTGGGGGAGTGACCGTGGAAGAGGAACTTTGACTGTTGTCTTTGTTTGTTCCAGGATTCCAGCCCAGGGTCTCAGCACCCCCAGCTTCCGAGGAGCCCCAGGTACGGCTCTTTGCAAACTGTCTCTTCAGTCTAGAACATTACTCAATGTGTCAGTTTTCTCAAGCCATTTCTAGTCCCTCAGTCCAACTTCATAGATTTCGTACTTAAACAGATTGATCTGGAAGCGAGAGGTGAATGTGAGATCTAGCTGTTGGAGTAGCAGAAGGGGAGCAAGGAGCTTAATGCTACCTCTGGTACCAGTTTACTGTGGGATAGTGGGCAAGTCACTTACTGCTCTGTGACTCAGTTTCCCCATGTGCAAAAAATGGATAAGAAGATTAACTGCGCAAGAATGATGAGAACTTTAATGTTCTATTGTTACTGACCATACTCTTTACAGGGTTTTTGTGTGCAGCTGGGAACATTTTTGACATTTTAAAGATAAAGAGCGATAAGAAATTATATTTGTTAGGTGCATGAAGATTTTCCAGTGCAAGGTGCTGTGGGCCTGATCCAAAGCTCCCTGACTTCAATAGGAGACTGTCCATTTATATGGGGTTTGGATCTGGCAAAATATGATCAGCAGGTGAGTTCTTAAAGACAGAATCCAGTGATGGTTCTTGTCATAACACACAATTTAGAGGACAAGCAGGAGAATCCAAGATAAGAGGGAATTTTCCACAAGGCTAAACTCGCTTGTATGTTCAGTTATGTCAAGCTTGATCTCAGCTCTGTCTGATCACCTCCTTCATTTTGCAAGGCGGTGGCTAATTTTTCTAACTCTTGCCAAACAGGGTGGAATCTTATACGCTCATCTGGATTTTGATTCACGGAATCGCAACGGGAGCACGTTGCAGCGACCGGCCAGAGGGAAACGTGTAAAACCCTGAACTGTCAAGCGCAGGGAAATCCACACGTGGGAACTGATGGCTGGTTCTCTGCTGATTGGACATAGCAGCTGGAAGAAGCCTCTGTTTGTCTCCGTCTCCTTTCTTTTTGTATTTTTTCCACTTCTCTGTTTAGAATAAAAAGCTCAGAAGATCCCCACAGGGTCTAGCCTCATCAGGTGGGAAATCTCCTTTTGGGGTATAAAGGCATCATGGTGTAGATGACCTTACACATCACTTGTGTATTAGATTGGAAGCTCTTTGGGGCAGGGAGTGTCTCTTTGTCTTATGTTTTGTGCAACGTCTAGCACAGAGAGGCTCTGGTCCATAACTGGGGCTCCTGGGTGCTATGGTAATACAATCATCCTCCTCCTCCTCATCATCATCATCCTCATCCTCCTCCTCCTCCTCCCTCTCTCTGCAGAGGGACATGGATGCAGCTGAACGGCTGCAGCTTCCCTGCACAAAGAGTCAGGCCAGATGGCAGAAGCCAGCAGAGGGGACGTGCAGCCCCTGTCTACGCCACAGCTCCCAACTCCCCTGATCCTCAGCAGGCGCATGCTCCCTTTGCAGTAAGGTTACATGGACGTGCCGTGGGATTGGGAAGGGGAAGGATGGATGCGGGAGCAGCTGGGAGGGATGAGAATCTCTTCCCAGGCCACGGCGGGAGCTGCTACTCCAGTGCTTCCTCTGCAGGCTGCTGCTTTCCCCCATGGGCGAGATTCACGGAGCCCCATGGGCCAGCCCCTCTGCGCCATCTAACGAGAACAACACGTTATCGGTGACTGGAGCTCTCCTAGGCCCTGAGCCTGCACGCGCTGCCTGTTTACATCACAACTTGTTGTTCAAGCTGTCATTCGAACTGTCACTCATTAAAAACAGACGGCAACCCCACTAGTGATGTTTGTTTTGCCTCTTTTACCTGTTCAATGCATCAATCTCACTTTATTGTGTAATAAGAACGGTGACCTCTTAAATTCTTTGGGCCCAATTCTGCTCTGGTTTACAGCAGTGTAAATCTGTAGGAGCTCTGTTGCAGTCACTGGAGTTACTCCAAATTCATTCCGGTGTCTCTGAGAGCAGAATCTGGCCCTTTCTATCTAACTTAGCATCTGCGTTTCTTTTGGTGGATGCTACAGCCAATGTGTTACACAGAACCGATGCAGTGAGCTGTAGCTCACGAAAGCTTATGCCTAAATAAACTGGTTAGTCTCTAATGTGACACAAGTCCTCCTGTTCTTTTGGCGAATACAGACTAACACGGCTGCTCCTCTGAAACGGAACGTGTTGCACGCACACCTTCAAAATATGGTGGATGGTGATCATTTCCACTAAAGGCAGGACAAGTTGTGGGCTTAATCTGCCGCAAGGGAGATTTAGGTTAAATGGTAGGAAAAACTTTCTAACTCTCAGGGGAGTTCAGCTCTGGAACTGGCTTCCAAGGGAGGTTGTGGAATCCCCATCACTGGCGGTTTTAAAGAACAGGTTGAACAAACACCTGTCAGGCATGGCCTAGCTTTACTTGTCCAGACCCCTGTGCTGAGGCAGGACCTTGATGACTTGTCAACTTCCCCTACAGCCTGACATGTCTATGATTCTCTGAGTGCCGATAAAAAATGAATGGCTAAGGGCCTGAATCTGATTTCCGGTTACTCTGAGGACTGAACCTAACAGGGCTGCAGGAGGGCCCTGATTCCCAATGAGCCTTCATATTGAGGACTTGAATGAATGGTGACTTGAAGTCACTGAGGATGCTTTCAGCAAGATGAGAGCAGCTGGCTCTGGTTCCTTGGCCAACTTCCCATTTAGGTTATTACGAGAGATGGTCAGGTCTTTAGAGGGACCATTTCTTTCTCAGAAAACTCCTATTTGTTGAAATGGAGATTTTTTTTCCCATGGGAAAAGGGTCAGCTTTGATGAATGTTTTGACTTCACAAAAAGTTTCAGAATTGAAAAATGAACCATTCTGGTTCTCCAGTTCAAAATGACGCCATGCTTAGAAGTTTAAGCTAGTTATTGATTAAATAAAATGTAACCTGGTCAAAATTTCATATGGTGAAAATTGAAAGGAAACATTTCAAAATTCTTAAAACAAAACGCTTCCTTTCATCCAAACCGATGATGATTTTTGGTTCCAGGAAAATTTTTGAGATTTTGATTATTCTATCCTAGTTAGTGAGAGGAAAAGTTTTCAGTATCTTGAAAATTTGTGTGGGGTGGGAAATCCATTTTCTGCCCAGCCCTGGTAATTACATTCATGTAAAATTGCTCGTGTAGCTGCAGTTGGCTACATTGCACCTTTCCACTTCCTGCCCTAAGGCACTGCGCAGGGCTGCTGTGGGGCTGTCAAACAGCTGCCCCGCTCCACCCCCACCGTGCATGAAGAGATTTCTATACACAGTGTAAAAGCCCAATCCTGCAAGGTGCTGATGCACTGACTGTGATGTGCTGGGCAGACACAACACTCTGCAAAGTCAAGGGGAATGGTGGGTGCTCGGCTGCTTTTAGGTTCAGTGCCTAAGTCCAGTTTCTTAAAGCAATTTACATTGTAAAGCATTTTGTTGGGATCCCTCGAGCAGTAAGTAAAGCATTGTGCTGGTGTCAATCAGTGTTCCTTGGAGGTTTATAACAGGCGCTTTCTTTTATAAGGGATTTTGCTGGGCAGCCACTGTGCTTGAATAACGTTATGATTTCTATGGTCTCATCTGTACTGCCACTGACAACATTCAGCCCATTAACAGCGAGCCTGGGGACCTGATTCTCATCTGCATTAAGCCCTTTTCCACCATGGTAATGTACAGGGGCCTTTAAGTGGGTGTCATTGTAATTTCTGCTCCTCTAAACTCCTCGTTCCACTGGGGCAAAGGGGAAGCTGTGTAATTGTGAGTAATGCCCTTGGGCTAGAAATCAGGCAGAATCTTGGCCAGTCCAGTCGTCCTTCGTCAGGCCAAACTCCTGCTTCCACGTAACATTGCCTCAGTCAGGGACTGCAGGATTTAGCCCGGGTCACGCCCCAACCATGGGAGGGAGGGAGTGAAAGGGAAGGCAGGAAGAAGGTAGATGGTCCCCAGCATTAGAGTGTTGCCTGGAAGGGGGTTGTAACAGATCGATCCCCACTTTGCCAGGGGAGCTGCAGCCAGTCAGTCCAGTCTCAGAAAATGGAGTAGGGTCTAAGGAGACGTGGACAAGTAACCGAGGGAATCTGGTCTTTTCTGAGCCAATGGCTCTATTCGCTAGCCCATGTTGCCCTCTATTGTCAGCTGTTTCAGAAGGGTCACTGATAGATGCACTTTCCTTTTTGTGCAGCCAGACGCAGCTTTTTAACCAGCCCCGTTCAGTTTGGTTTTAGCCAGTTTATTGATAGATCCAAGCAGAGGCTCTTAACTTCCATTGACTTCAGTAGGAGTGAGGCTCCTAACCCACCTAGCCATGTTTGAAAATCCCGCGAGGCACCTCTCTGCTTTATAGGCACTGAAATACTTTTGACCATCTGGCCCTAAGTCACTGTTGAGAATGGGACTTGTATTCTTGAAAATTGCATTCCACGTTGTCTTCTTTCTCAAATGTCAGAGCTTTCAGTGTGATTATTTAAGGTACAATTAAAGTCCTCCAAGACAAGATGCCGAACAATCATTACATATCTGTGTTGTACCAGCCAGAAAGATGATACCTTAAACCAAACATGGAAGACTGGGCAGAGACTTACGTTGGGAGTCTCAGAAGACCTTAGTGATTTAGGAGCATTCTCCTTTGAAAGTCAAAGGGACTTGTGCTCTGAAGTCATGGGGATTTGTTTCTATAGATCATCCATATTCTGGATGTTTAAATTTATTCTCAATTATCATAGTACACCCCTGAGCCACTGCAATGCAGAGAAATTCTACAAGATATGCTGTAGCCTCTTTAACCCACCCCTCTAGTATCTATCACCACAGCACACCCTCCTTGGAGGCGTTCCTCACTGGACATAATCAAGACACTGTACCCAGTCACTGCAGCAGTGCACTGGGCATCAGCCTTTGGGCCAGTGTGTCAGGATTTTGTTCTACTTGTTTAATGAAAATGATCTTTGCCAAGTATCTGGTTTTATCTTCCTTAGGTAAAACTTCTGCATTAAGCTTTGGAATTGAGAGAACAGCCTCTTCAGTAGGACACCAGTGTTAACTATGATATGTTTTCAAGCTTTAGCTGCATTTTAATAGCAGGTTATTTTAGCATTCAGGCTGCAGAGCACAGATGTTATCAGATTAAATAAATTCTAGTGCTGAGCTATCCATTCCATCTGTGGCAGTTGGAGACCTGATGGAAACTGACTATAACAATATTTTATTTCTCCAGTGCTGGGAGTGCAGTTATTTCTGCACCAGACTCAGCGGATCCAGTTTGTTGAAGTTAATGACACCGCCAAGATCCACTGTTCTTCCACAGAAAACTTGAAAGGAGGAGGATGGAAGGTGTTTTGGTATTTGAGAAGAGAAGGTGAGACACCAACATGCATTAAGCACTGTTGGGATGATCAAAATGTAAGTAAATTTGCTTGCAAACATGAGACACACAGCTCGACACTGGAAATCAGCACTATCCAAAAGACGGAGTCTGGCATTTACTACTGTGCATATAAATACAGCAGCTACCTGATCTTCGGGAATGGATCCACGCTGATTGTTGGAGGTAAGGAACCATATAGCTTGTTTAAGGAGACTAATAATTGATTAACAACCCATATTTCATGTTCCTATTAAAATGAAACAAGATACCATAGCTATTGATGAATGGTTCAAAGGAAAGCATGCTTTAATGCAAACAGTTCAGCTAAACATGAAATACTATGGGTACAGAGGGGATATAATACACATACATTTTATAAGTAAAAATGTTAAAACTTGAAAGTGCCAAAAATAAACTATTGACGTTTCTCTGACTGTTCAGGGCACCCAGGTAGGGAATATTTCTAACCTAAGAGCCTCGACTACATGAAACTATATGTTGAGTTAATGAAATGTTTATAAAAAATTTAAAATTTGCACACAATTTTCCTCCTGGCTAGTGCAGATACGTATTGCTCTACAATCTAGTTAGCGGTAGTGTGGTGATTTACTATTTCCTTCTTTAATAGATGTGTTTCTTTGAATTAATGTCTCAGTGATTGTTGTAGCTGTGTTGGTTTCAGGGTATTAGAGACACAAGGTGGGTGAGGTAATAGCTTTTATGGGACCAGCTTCTGTTGGTGAGAGAGACAAGCTTTCGAGCTGGCAAGGAGCTCTGAGTAAATTCCCAGACCTGAAGAAGAGCTCTGTGTAAGCTCAAAAGCTTATCTCTCTCACCAAGAAGTGAGAGAAGTCCTAGTGAAAGACTAACATCTTTAATCAGACTGCAGCTCACTAAATTCTCCACCTTCTTCTGCTCAGACAGTTATACCAAGAGCAGCTGGGTGATGCTTCTGGTCCCATTTCCACATGGCAGTCAAGTCACTGGGGCAGCAAATCTGGCCTGTGTGATCCATGGAGTGTCCAGCCCGGTCCATGTTTCCTGGAGTGTTTCTGGGGAGCTGCAGGAACAGGGGCTGACACGCTCACTGAAAGCAAAGGATGGATCTTTAACCCTCATAAATCACATCAGCGTCCCCATGGACACCTGGACCAGTGGGAAGAATTTCACCTGTGAAGTCAAATTCAACTCTTCCGGCAACAGTGTGAAGACAAGTACCAGGTATCCTGCAGGTGAGTGATATGATGTTTGAGGCTAATGGAGACTCTGATGTTAAATCGGTGTCAAGTGGCCACAATCCGAGCTGCTTCTACGTAACTTTCCATCCCAGAAAGCTGGAATATTTTATGTCATAATTAAAAGTAATCAGATGTGCAGATTATTTGGGGAAAGGTAAACTGAGACATTAAAGGGACCCCAAGACAATATAGCTCTGATTTCTAGAGCAGTTTCACCAGATTGTACATATAAAGCACAGTAAAGAGTTAAAAAATAATATATCTCATGAGTAAAAGGGCATTTGAGAAGAGAGATGTTTTCCCAATGAGATATGCAAAGTGATGGAGAGGTGATGAGGTGAGGAAAGACCTAGAGGGAGGATTTTGTAGATGGCAGATGGTGCAGAGAAAATACTGATGACAGGGGAAAGAATTCACCTGAGAGAGAGGGGGCACAGAGGGTAAAAAATGCTGAAGGCTTCTGTATCCTCACGCCTCGGGGGTTAAGGCCGGTGGTGAAATGTGCTCAGGAGGGAAAAGCTGGATGTGGTGGCATTAAGGCCCACTTTGCTCAAGTCAGGCACTTTTGTCTGTTTTTTTGCTTCCTCCACAGCCCCTGCCAGAGAGTGCTCACATTACATTGTGCCCCTTGCGGCTGGAGCTGGTCTGCTGCTGCTGGTGGTGTCTCTGAGCCTCGTCTGGACCCTCTGCCCTTCCACGCTAGGTAATAAACACAGCCCAGCCCAGACACTCCCCCACTGAGAGAAATCCTGCTCCCCTGCTTAATACTGGGGACTGCAACTGTCCCGTCCAACACATGAACACGCTGCAAATGTCACAACTGCCAGCACTGATCTCAGAATGTTTGTTTTCTGCATCTTGAATTTCCTGTGTCAGGAGAACGGCTTTGTTCTCCGTGACAAAGGGAGCGATGTAGAAAGGCTTCTACTTCCGATGGCTCAGGCACCTGGTGTATAGCTCACAAAGAGCACTAGCCTTTCTGATGTGCCTCTCTCCATTTGCCATGCTTGGTGGTGCCCTGCACAATTACAGCTCGGATGCACCATTAGTCAATGAACCAGTTGGGGGAGTGACCATTGGAAGAGGAACTTTGACTGTTGTCTTTGTTTGTTCCAGGATTCCAGCCCAGGGTCTCAGCACCCCCAGCTTCCGAGGAGCAACAGGTACGGCTCTTTGCAAACTGTCTCTGTCTAAATCAATATGTCTGTTTCAGGCATTTCTAATCCATCAACTTCATATATTTGGCACTTAAACCAATTTGTTTTGAAAGGTGAAAGAGAGATCTAGCTGTTGGAGTAGCAGAAGGGGAGCAAAGAGCCTTACTGCTAACAATGGTACCAATTTACTGTGGGATAGTGGGCAAGCCACTTAGTACTCTGTGACTCAGTTTCCCCATGTGTAAAAAGTGAATAACAAGGTTTACTGCGCAAGGATGTTGGGAAGTTTGATATTTTATTGGTTCTGACTGTACCCTTTACAGGGTTTTTGTGCAGCTGCGAACATTTTTGGCACTTATAAGATAAAGAGCCAGAAGAAATTATATTTGTAAAGCACATGAAGATTTTGCAGTGACAGGTGCTGTGGGCCTGAGTCCAAGCTCACTGACCTCAATAGGAGACTATCCATTTATATCAGGTTTGGGTCTAGCAAAATATAATGAGCAGGTGAGTTCTTAAAGTCCGAATCTGACACTGGTTTCCATTCTGATAACACGCACAGTTTACAGGACAATCAGGAGAATCAGAGATGAGAGGGAATTTTTCATCAGGCTAAACTCACTTGAATGTTTGGTGTTCTCGCACCCTGTATCCCTTCATTTTACAAGGAGCTGGCTAAATTTACTAATTGTCACCAAACAGGATGGAATCTTATACACTCAACTGCGTTTCAATTTGCGGAATCACAACGGGCGCACAATGCAGCGATCAGCCAGAGGGAAACGTGTAAAACCCTAAACTGTCTCGTGCAGGGGAATGCACACGTGGGAACTGATGGCTGGTTCTCTGCTGATTGGAAGTAGCCGCTGGAAGAACGCTCTGTCTGTCTCAGTCGCCTTTTTTACTTATTTTCTCCCCTTCTCTGTTTAGAAATAAAAAGTCAGAAGACCCCCACAGAGTCCAGTCTCATCAGGTGGGAAATCTCCTCTTGGGATGTAAAGACATCGTGGTGTAGATGACTTTACACGTCACATGTGTATTAGATTGGAAGCTCTTTGGGGCAGGGACTGTCTCTTTGTTCTGAGTTTGTGCAGCGCCTAGCACAATGAGGCCTGGTCCATAACCAGGGCTGCTGAGTGCTATGGTAACACAACAATTGTCATCATCATCCTCCCCCACGTGCAGGGGGACCCGGACACAGCTGAAAGGCTGTGGCTTCCCTGGACAGATGGCAGGAGCCTGCAGAGGGGACGTGCAGCCCCTGTATATGCCACAGCTCCCCTGATCCTCAGCAGGCACATGATGCCTTTGCAGTAACATTACATGGACGTACAATGGGATTGGGAAGGGGAAGGACGGATGCGGGAGGAGATGGGAGGGATGGGAATCTCTCCCCAGGCCAGGGCTGGAGCTGCTAGTCCAGTGTTTCCTCTGGAGCAGTGTTTCTCAATGACCTGTCCGTGGACCAGTGCCGGTCCTTGAGATCTCCCTGACACAGTTTAGGAAGGCAGCCAGCCGGTCCCTGGTATCAGAAAGGTTGAGAAATGCTGGTGTAGAAGCTGCTTCTTTCCCCAAAAGCGAAATCCACAGGGCCCCAGGTGCCAGCCTCCGTGCACCATCTAACAATAACAACACGTTATCAATGACTTGAGCTCTCCTGGTGCCTGAGCCTGCATGCGCTGCCTGTTTACATCACAACTTGTTGTTCAAGCTGTCATTCTAAATATCACTCATTAAAAACAGACGGCAACCCCACTAGTGATTTGTGTGTGTTGCCTTTTTTACCTGTTCAATGCATCAAGCTCAGCTTATTGTGTAATAAGAAAGGTGACCTCTTAAATTCTCTGGGTCAGATTCTGCTCTGGTTTACTACACTGTAAATCTGAAGGAGCTGTGTTGCAGTCAGTGGAGTTATTCTAGATTTACTCCAGTGACTCTGAGAGCAGAATCCGGCCCTTTTCATCCCACTTAGTGTCTGTGTTTCTTTGATGGATGATACAACAAATGTGTTACACACCACTTGTTAGACACACATCTCCACATATGATAAGGACTGTTTTAAAGAGGATTTTTTGTTCTCCATGTCCACTAGAGGCAGGACAAGAAGTAATGGGTTTAATCTGCAGCAGGGAATGTTTGGGGTAGATATTTGGAAAAAGTTTCTAACTCTAAGGGGAGTTCAGCTCTGGAACTAGCTTCCAAGGGAGGTTGTGGAATCCCCGTCACTGGAGGTTTTGAAGATCAGGTTGAACAAACACCTGTAAGAGATGATCCAGGTTTACTTGTCCAGACCCCTGTGCTGAGGCAGGACCTGGATGACTTTTCAAGGTTCCTTCCAGTCTGACATTTCTATGATTCTCTGAGTGCCAATAAAAATTGAATGACTAAGGGCCTGAATCTGATCTCAGGTTACTGAACCCAACGGGGCTGCAGGAGGGCCCAGATTTCCATTGAGCTTTCAAACTGAGGTCATGAGTGGATGGTGACTTGACATCACTGAGGATGCTTTCAGCAGGATGAGAGCAGCTGGTTCTGGTTCCTTGGCCAATGTCCCATGTGAGTAAATTACTAGAGCTGGTCAAGTCTTTAGAAGAAACATTTCTTTGTTGGAAAATGCACACTTGTTGAAATGGAGAATTTTTTTTTTCCCCAGGGGAAAAGGGTAAGCTTTGATGAATTTTTTGACGTATTAAAAGTTTCAAAATTGAAAAACTCCAGTTCAAAATGATGAATTGCTGAGAAGTTTAAACTATTTATATTTGAAATCATTTTAAGTTTAACATGGTCAAAATTTTATATCGTCAAAATTGAAAGGAAACATTTTCAAAAATATTAAAACAAAAACACTTCCTTTCACACAATCCAAAAATGATATTTGGTTCTCGGAAACATTTTGAGATTTTAACTTTTCATCTCAGTTCGAGACGAGAAAATTTTTTGATATCTTGAAAATTTTTTGTGCAATGGGAAATTTTCTGGCCCAGCCTGGTAATCACATGAGTGTAAAAGTGCTCCTGTAGCTGCAGTTGGCTACATGGCTCCTTTCCACTTCCTGCCCTAAGCCACCGCGCAGGGCTGCTGTGGGGCTGTCAAACAGCTGCCCCGCTCCACCCCCACAGTGCATGAAGATATTTCTGTATATACTGTAAGGGTCCAATTCTGCATGGTGCTGAGGCACTTGCTGTGATGTGCTGGGCACCCACTGAACTAAGCTAAGTCCAGAGGAGTGGTGGGTGCTCAGCTGCTTTTAGTTTCAGCACCTACCTTCAGTTCCTTAAAGCACTGTACTTTGTAAAGCATGTTCGCTGGGAACCTTAGAGCAGTAAATAGGGCTTTGTACCATTGTCAGTCCGTGTTACTGGGAGGTTTATAACAGGCCCTTACAGGAACTGGGCTGGGGAGACATTGTGCTCGAATAGCTTTATGATTTCTGTGGTCTTATCTGTACTACCACTGACAACATTCAGCCCCTTATAAGTGAACCTGGGGACCGGATTCTCATTTGCACTAAGCCCCTTTCCACCATGGTAATGCACAAGGGCCTGGAAGTGGGTGTGAGTGTAATTTATGCTCCTTTAAACTCCTCTTTACCTTGGTGCAAAGGAGAAGCTGTGTAATTGTGAGTAATGCCCTTGGGCTAGAAATCAGACAGAATCGTGACCAGTCCAGCCTTCCTTTAAACTCTTGCTTCCATTTAATATTGATTGAGGCAGGGACTGCAGGATTTAGCCCAGGTAGCTCCACACCCATGAGAGAGAGCGAGAGAGGGAGGGGAAGGAAGGAAGATGGTCCCCAGCATTAGAGCGTTGCCGGGAAGGGGTTTGTAACAGATCGATCCCCACTTTGCCAGGGGAGCTGCAGCCAGTCAGTGCAGCCTCACAAGTGGGCTTGAGGCTAAGGACACCTGGCCAAGGCACCGAGGGAATCTGGTCTTTTCTGAGCCAATGGCTCTAATCGTTAGCCCACGTTGCCCTCTGTTGTCAGCTGTTTCAGAAGGGTCACTGACAGATGCACTTTTCTTCTCGCTCCCTGCTTTGTGCAGCCAGACGCAGCTTTCGAACCTGCCGTGTTCCGTTCATTTTTAGCCAGATTATTGGTAGATCGAAAGGGAGGCAGGGGAGGCATTTAACTTCCACTGGCTTCAGTAGGAGCGAGTCAGCTAACCCTCTTAGCCATGTTTGAAAATCTCACGAGGCACCTCTCTGCATTTATAGGCACCGAAATACTTTTGAAAATCTGGCCCGCAAGCAGTTTTTAAAATGGGACTTGGTCTCTTTTGAAAATTGTATCTCTTGTTGTCTTATTTCTCACACAAGTCAGAGCTTTCAGCGGGATGATTTAAAGTGCTATTAAAGTCCTCCAAGATGAGACTCCAAATGATTGTTACAGGCAAATTTTGTAGCACCAAGAAATATGATACAAGAATGGACCAAACATGGAAACCTGGGAAGAGATTTAGCTTGGGCTTGTCAAAAGAACTAAGTGATTTAGGAGTATTTTCCTTTGAAAGTCA